TGTTCCGGGGGACAGGGGCTGTGGGGGGCAACGGCTGTGGGGGGCAACACTTGTCTTTTCCTGATGACGCCCCCCGGGGAACTGCCCCTTTGCTCTGCATCTGCCCCGCCCCCTGCCTCTCTTCTCACTGGGTGCCCTCCTCCATCTTTACCACTTGTCCCCCGCCTCAGCTTGGACACCCAATGCTTTGGGCTGGGGTTGGGGGTCGGGGGGAGTCATCGCCAGGTAGGACTGATGCTCTGTTTTCTGGTTCTCCAACCTTCCAGCCTCACCAAGACCTCCAGGTCCTGCGTTTTTCAGTGTTTCGCTTTTTTCTTTGTTTCACCGTTTCTTTTTGAGTTGGTGGCTTTCTCAAAGCTATGGGGGAGTCCAGCCCCTGCTGCCCGCACATCTAGGAGCCAGGCCCGCAGCCCGTAGCCCGCACCCTCACAAAGCATTTCCAGATCGCTGTGGGTGTGGGGGTGTACGTGCACGTGTGTGCCGATAGGACAGCTGTTCTCGCTCTGGGTGGCAGCCCACGTGACTCAGCACTGTTGGTTTCAGTGCTTGACTGGTTGCTAGGCACCGTATTCAGGTCAGATGCATGATCATAGGTGTGTTTGTTTCACTGCAATATGAAAGCAGCTGTCAACTGAGCAGCTCTCTCCCGGACCAGAACCAGTTTCTGGTCCAGTAGTTCAGGTGCTCAGGAATCATTGGCAACCCACGCTTGACCCGTCAGGACAATGTCCACCGCGTCGTGGCACCTCTGAGTCTCCTCACGGTGCCAGGACCCAGACCTCTGGTCCAGCTTGCTGTCACTGTGCTTAAGGGTCACCCCTGAGACACCTGAGCCCCAGGTCCCTGGCAGGCTGGGCTCCTTCCCGCTGAGCTTGTTACCACCTGAGTACATGACCGTCGGCCGGGAGAGATGCTGGATTTCACGAGGCGGCCCTGCCATCTTCCAGGTCCCAGCCTGGCTCCCTGCCGCTCCTCCCTGGCCGCAGGGTTTCGTGTGGGCCTTTCCCACCCTGGACCAGCCCCACCGGCCCTGGGCTTTGCTTGTGGTGCCTTCTGCTCTGAAGGCCTCTCCGCTCCCACCTGGCTGCAAAACCTTCTCCCCTTGACGCCCGCTGAGGACAGGCGCTCCCCTGGCGCTTTCCGGCTCCGCGCCTCCTCCTGGCTCTCTCGTGCCGCCTCCGAGCCCCTCGCCTGCCATTCTGCCTCACCCTGGTGTCCGTTAGGAGACAGACCTTCGACCACTTTTTTTTGCCATGGTTATGTCTCCTCAGGTATCCTGCCACTTCTTGAATCAAGTTTAATACTTGATATTTTCTTGGGAAATTATCTACCCCGTCTGGATTTTGAAATTTATTAATGACATTAAAATAGTGTTTTCTCATCCTTAATCTTTATTTCTGTAGTAGAGTGTGGTTTCTCATTTTGTGGGATTGCATGCCTCAGTCTGTTCATCTGTAATAGGGGGATAGTAATGGGATTGTCCTGTTACCACATCCACCTATGTCACAGGTTGCTCTGAACATTGAGTAAGTATTAGTAAAGTGCTTAGGACACCGTCTGATACATAATAAATGAATAGCATGTAAGTGTTAGCCAGAAGTGTTGTCGTTTTTTTTTTTGATCAGAGGTTTATTTTGTTGGTCTTTTTGGAAAAAAGATTTTGCATTTGTTGGTCAACTCCGTCATTAATTTTTCCTTACGGCTTTAATTCCTTCCTTCTTTTCTTTCCCTAAATCATGAGTGTAGTTCACTGAAAACAATTGGGAATTGAAAACAATAACATTTATAATTGTTTTCCTATTTTGTTCTGATAGATTGTGTGTTCCAGAGAGAAGGAACTCTGTCTGTTTGGTTCCCTGACATGGTACCTGGCACAATAGATCGAATAAATAAAGGATTTTTTTACCTTAAACTCTCCCCTGTTAATTCAGCTTCTGGTCTTGAAAATTGGGCAGCAGTGAAAGAGTCTCAATCCTTGAACCTTTAGCCCAGAGAGTCTCAGATTTTAATGTGCATCAGGGTCCCCCAGAGGGCTGTGGAAACACAGACTGCCCGGCAGCCCCGAGTTCCCCATTCAGTGGGTCTGGGGCCCCAGGTGGCCACTGTCACTGCTGGGATCCCCTGGGGGCTCACGGTCTTAGACACATGCTCTGCTCTCTGCTCTAATGTCTGGCCCCCTCCAGAGCAGTTAGTTACCCTAATGAGCCTAATTAACAGTCCAGCCACAGGTAGCTGTGGCATGCACGGGGGCTGGAGACCCCTGCCCCACTGCGTCCTTACGGAGGCTCTGGCCTCCCTGCCCGTGGCCTGGAGCAACATGGCATTGATCTGGAATCACTTGCTCTGGACTGCTGGGTAAGGGAACAGGAGAGCCGTTCTGGGTGACGTCTTCCCAGCTGCTGTCTTGTGGATGGAAAGGGGTCCCACCATTCTCTGGACTTGGGGCAGGTCGGGACAGAAGGGAGAGAAGGCCTGTCTGAGACGCTTTAACCTGTCTCCCTTGGGATGACACTCAGGTTGGATCGAGTGTGTCACGAGGCTGCACCTGTCGGTTCACATCATTTGCAGAAACAAGTTCAACACCTGTGTGGGAGAAAGGTGTTGCTTGGCAGGACGGCAGATTCCAACAGACGCGTGGGTGTGGGGAGCCTGCGTTTTAAAGTGGGGCCTGTTTCCTCGTGTACACATCACCGTTCATGCGTCTGGCTGGCAAAAAGTACTATTTGGGGGAGTCGGGTACCTCTTCAGTTGAAGAAGAAAAGAGATCCAAAATTTGGAAGCGCTTTCCTGTTTGGAGGGCGGGTCTCCTATTATGCACACAAGAGCAGCCGTGTTAAAAGCCTTTTCTGTAGTGCAGATACCTTCTAATGTCCCTACTTTCTAAACTTGGAGTTTGCTGTTTCAGTGTCTGTAAGTCCTTTGGTATTTGTCTACATTGATGCTTTCTTTGAAGTATGATTGTCTCAGGGCATGTCGCGTTTTGCTCGGCTGTCTGTTGGCCGCTGGGTGACAGGAACCCAGGAATGGGGCCAGCGTCCTGGTCACGCTGCTTTTCCTTTGCCTGAAATGCAGCGGTCCCATTGGCAGCTGGAGGTGTTTGCCTGTGGATGACCGATGACATCTTTGCTTCCACTCCTCAGGGTGTCCTGGACCGGTTTTCCCAAATCCAGCCGAAGCTCATGTTCTCCGTAGAGGCGGTGGTGTACAATGGCAAAGAGCACGGCCACATGCATAAGCTGCAGCAGGTGGTAAAAGGTGTGCGGCCTTCGGCTGGGAGCTGGCATCGGGGGCCTGTGTGTACAGAGTCACAAGGGCTTGGGATGCTACGCTGTTTTATATGGTTACATTTTGTAAAACAGTCAGCAACTAAGCACCTTGCGCCCTGTAACTTTGTATCCTCCCTTTTCCCTCCTTCAGGGCTGCCAGACTTGAAAAGAGTGGTGGTGATTCCCTATATCGCCTCCCGAGAGAACATAGATATTTCCAAGATCCCCAATAGGTAAGTCAGCCAGGGGCTGATTGCTGGTTCCGTGTGGCGCCCACCCCACGTTCCACCGGGCAGTAGCCTCTGATTCCTCCCACGTAGAATCGTGGCGTTTTAGAGGTGCAGGGGGTTTTAGTTAAAATCGTTGTTTTGCAGATGGGCATCTGAGGCCCCAGAGTGAATTCCTCAAGGCCACATAGTGAATGAGTGGCAGGACAGAGAAGGTCTCAGGAACCCTCTGTTTTCCTGTCTGTTCTCCTTGTGAAGTGGTGGGGCCAGGCCCAGGGCCTTGGATTGGCCACAACGGCTCTGATTAACGTGTATATGTGTCTGCACACATGTGTACATGCACACGTGCGTGCATGCACACACAGTAGGTATACACACATGCATGTGCACACACGTGTGTATATGTGTGCGGATACATACACATATACACACATGTTTACATGTATACACACATATGCACACACGTAAATGAATGTGTACACATAAATAAGTGTGCATTTCCCTTTTAGAACGTGTTCCTATCCTCATTGCTCATGGTATCTTCCTTTGCTGTTCTGACATTTGTAAGTTGATACACCACCTTCCTTGAACACCAAATAGAATTGTGAGCACCTTAATTTTGATTAGAAATTAAGAAATGGATTATGGTTTGCTCAAAGTTGAATTCGTCCCCAAATTCTTGGAGTTATACTGTTGTCCTTTTTTTTTTTGAAGCCATCTTGGGGGAGAGTTCTGAGATCAGGTGTGTTTTACCTTCACAGGTAAACCTTCCCTTTTGCCTCCTGTCTGGGCTGCAGGCAGGAGCCTCGTGAGTGGGGAAGTGGCCGCACAGACACGGGGGGTCCTGTGTCCGCGGTGAGGGGAAAGAGATCACAGAGGCCCTTTCCTTCAGGCAAACAGCTGGCTGAGTGGTTCTGTGCAGGGTGCTCTGGGGACACTGAGAGGATCAAGCCTCTGTGCTGTCCTCAAGGCCCTGCCATCCATTGGGACGGACAAAGCACTTTCAGGGAGGTTGAGCCATGACCATGGGCCCAGGGGACACAGCCATGCTCGTCGAGGGGGGCAGGAAGTTACTCGGGTGTTGGGAGAAGGGTGTCATTCCTTATCCGTGGGACCTGGGGGATGTGGCACCTGAAGTGACCTTGACAGATGAGTGGTATTTGGGGACAGGTGTGTGTGTCAGGATTCCAGAGGCCAAAGTGTGTTGTAAGTGAAGTGACTGTCCCCGAGAGCCAGATTGCTCAGGTTCACAGGTCAGCTGTGTGACCCTGTACAGGTGATTAACCTCTCTGTGCCTTGGTTTCCCCATCTGTGAAATGGGGATGCTGACAGTACCTTCCTCAGGCTGGCCGAGGAGAAGGAAGTAAGTGCTGGGCAGAGTGCATTCATTAGGTCTCAGTGATATTGTCACGAGAAGGTGACAGCTGCAGGTGGGAGTGAGCTCTGTGACCTGGAGCATTGAGGTCAGGATGCGCAGGTCCTCTCACTGTCAGGCCCAGGGGCCTGTACTGTCCCCTAGACTGTGGGAACCCTGCCAGCCTGGAGCAGTGACAACCATGTCATGAAACCCGGGTCTCCGATCACACAGCCGAGAACAGCTTCCTGCTTTTTAAGAATTCATTCTTTTTTCTTCAACAAATGTGTACTGAGCACCCACCAGGTACCAGCATTCTTTGAGGTACAGTGAACAAAGTGGACAAAAATTCTTATCCTCTTGAAGCTTATAGTTTAAAGGATGGACAGACATCAAGAAATAACTTGAATAAATAAAATCCGTATTGTGTGAAATGGTGAAAGTGCTATTCAGTTATAATAGCTACTTATCAAATTGCCCCAAAACTCACCATGTACGATGCACATGGATTCTGTGGGACAGGACATCAGGAAGGATACCAGGAGCTTGGTTGTTCTTTGCTCCATGATAGCTAATGTCTGGGGCCTCAGCTGGAAACTCAGCAGCCGAGGGCGACTCAGTGGCTAGAAACCAGAAGCACACAGAGGCGTCCTTACTCGCTGGAGACCGTTGTTGGTGGGCAACGTCAGCTGGTGCTGTTGGTGGAAGCTTCACCCACAGCCTTTGCATGTGGCCTGGCTCATGTGGCCTGGCTGCCTCCCACAGCATGGCAGCCTCGGGGCGCTTGGACTTGTACTGCAGCTCGGGGCTCCAAAGGCGAGCGTCCCAAGAAAAGCAGGAGGAAAGTGCCTGGACTTCTCTGACTCGGCCTCTGAAGTCACCCAGCAGTTTCAAGGAAGAGGCTTAGGTGCCACCTTTTGATGGGACGCATCTCTAAGACTTTCCAGACACATTTAGAAACCACCACGAGTGCTCTGGAGAAAAATTGAGCAAGGTTAAAGGCCAGGCATGCCACGGGGAAAGGAGGAGGTGGCTTTCTATTTTAATCGTGTGGCCACTGGAGAAGCAAGTTCTGACCAAGACCTCCGGGAGGTTCAGGAAGGAGAGCCCATTTTAGGCAAAGAAGTTATCAAATGTGTTGGCCAGTTAGATTGGCGGGGGCTGGAGGCGAATAAGAAGGAAGAAACGTAGGAAATTTCCAGATTTCTGGCTTGAGTGTTGGGATGAATGGTAGTTCTGTTGACCAGGAGTGGGGACACAGGAGGTAGGGGAGAGAGGGCTGAACGGCTCCCTGCTTTGATGGAGGGGTGCGAAAAGCACCAAGGCCAGGAGGAGAAGCGGACGGGCTCACTGGCCCCAGGGTGCCAGGCTTTGGTTCTCCTGAATGTGTTGATCAGTAATTGATACGAAGTGCCAGAATCCAAGGGAAGCCCGTTAGCCACTTCATTTAGCTCCATACAGTGCGAAACCACCCCTCGTAAACCCGGCATGTCAGACCCCCTTGCCGTTCACCTTTGGATCGCTGGCTGCCGTAGAAAAACTGAAAACACGTGTGTGCCTGTGTGTGGAGGCCTGGAGTGGATACCCACCCTTGGCACTTTTCATTTTTAGCAGAGCAACAAAAGCACTCGGTATTTTCTGTGACTTACCAACCGTTGGAAAGAAAGGCCTTTTCTCTGCGGACGCACCCATTAGACTGGGCACGCTGTGTAAATGGGATTCACAGGGGAGGTGGGGCTGGAGTGGGGCTTCCATTGGCTGGAAAGTCCTACAGTGCATCGGTTTCCTGGGACTCTGGAGCAGGAGACTTTGTTTACCGTTCGGAGATGAGCTATTTCGATGCCCTTTAAACCGCCACGCCTCCCCCAGGACACATCCATCTTTGAGGGCGCCTCCCCTGCACAATGGCATAGTCCCCGCTGCAGGACGCGGGCATCTGTGTTTCCGAGCAGTCATCCTTTGCAAACTGCTGCGGGCTGAGTTTCGCTGACCTCTCTCCCTTCCTTGAAAGAAAGAAGGTTCCATTTGTCAAAACTATGTTTTTGGTTTTTTATCTTCCTCCATTCTTCCCCCTTGTAAACCAATGGAGGAATCGGGCCAGTGTTTTGGGATCCATCTTTTTGCTGGTTTCAAAGTCAAAAACCTGCCTCTCCCAAAACGTTTTTTTTTGGCTTCGGCTGCCCTGTTTCTGCTCAGAAAACAATATCCTGTTTGTGCCCCCTTCAGGTCTTCCTGGCGACTTGCATGGATGCTTTATGTCTGTCAGCTTTGGGGACAAGGCGAGGCAGGTTTCTTGGGCGATAGTCATTCGCTGGGCTTAATTGTATTTGTTCCTGGACAAATATTTGTGTCTAGCTGTTGTGCACCCTAAGGACAGGGTAAACTAGGACAACACGTGATGTTTGCCTGGCACGGCCTCTGTCTTAAAAACTGTACTTTTCAGATCTCCGCCTCACCTTCCTCCTATGAGCCTCTTGTATCAGAAAAGCTCTCGAACCTCACACCTCCTTCCCCAGCTTCTCCTCATGGGAAAAGCGTAGGAATTCAGACCCACGCGGCCAGGGCTTCCCTTTGGGCGACTGGAAACAAGGGCCTGCTAATGAGATGGTCGGCAGCAAGCCGGAAAGGAGCCTGGGCTCTTTTGTAAGCAGGTTGCTTACAAACAGCAGCGTGTGAACTGCGAGTGAGCCTTCCCACAGTGATTATTAAAAGCGCTTCACTGGTTCTCTGAAGGGACAGCCTGGCCCTGTCCATGGTGCCAATACAGCAACTTAACCTCAACTGAAACCATCACTTGCTGAATTCCCCTCCAGGCTAGTTTCCCCGGAGCCCAAGCTCTCACCCAGGTGGGCTGGAGGGGCCTGAGCCTGGGAGGGCTCGCGACCGGCCAGCGTGCCGAGCATTCACTGTTTGTTCCCATGCATTTTGCCCACAGCGTGTTTCTGGATGACTTTCTTGCGACCGGGAGAGGGGAGCAGGTGCCTCAGCTGGAGTTTGAGCAGCTGCCCTTCAGCCACCCTCTCTTCATCATGTTTTCGTCGGGGACCACCGGAGCGCCCAAATGCATGGTGCATTCCGCCGGGGTAGGTCTTTGTCCATGGGGTGCCAGGCGCCCCACCCCCACCCCCATGGTTCCAGCGTGCAAGCGGGGTGCCTGTCGGAAATCTAGAATGGAGCCTGGCCGATGGACATCTGCTGTCCCCGGTACTGCTGCGGTGCCAGGCACCACGGGGTCGGGGAGGGCGCTCCAGGCCCCTAGCGCTATGTCTCCATCACCCTGGGCTTCTTGCCCGGCCTGCTTTGCAGCTCCCTCCACAGCCAACTTCCCAGTTCACCCCACAGTTGGCTTAGCCTGTAGGAAGGAGAAAACCTGCAGGATCGTGGTCTAACCTTGTCATAGCCCTCCCCACCCCTCTCCCCTCCTTAGGAGAAGAGAATTATCCAAGTCAAGAAGCCTCATGTTCTCAAACAGCTCGCAGCTACTGCTTGATAAGATGGCGGTATTTGAAAAGGAAATATAGAATTTCTTATTCTAGCTCATTTAGCTTTACAGAGGTTTTCTATACATAGAAGCACTTTGAATTCCTTCCATAAAAAGGAACCATTTCCATCTGAGTCACTTTATTATTTATTTATTTATTTTTAAGATTTTTTGGGGAATTGGGGGAAGGGGAACAGACAAGTTGCTGTCGTCTTGTTCTTCAGTCTAGTTGTGGAGGACGTTGCTTCACTGGCCCAAGTTGGCACCATCATTGTGCTCTTCCCAGGCGAGGCAGTCAGTCGCCGGCTTCTGGATGGCCGCTCACGGCGGCTGCTGGCCGCTCACACTGGCTGCTGGCCGCTCACACTGGCTGCTGGCCGCTCACACTGGCTGCTGGCTACACACGGTAGCCCATGGCAACCCACTGCCACAGGGGCTGCAGCCTACACCATCGCCGGTGACTCACGGCTGCCCAGCTCCAGGTTGAGCTGTTGTTCAGCACCTTAGCTGTAGAGGGCAGTGTCACTGGCTCTCATATGTGGGATCCGAACCTGGGCCCTCTGGCGTCCCAAGCCAGCTCTTACCCAACGTGACACTCGGCCGGCCCACCATCTGAGTCACTTTAAAGCCTTACACAGCTTTTCCCAGAGCGACTCCATCAGAACAGGGAAATGAGTGAGCGTCCTTCCTTATTACCTGGATTTGGACTCACTGAAGGTCTGACTGCAGGTTATGAAATAAAACCGCCAGATATATGCCAAGAGCCCATGTTCATACACAGTGGGTGGTTTCTCAGGAAACCCCAGGCTGGGGGGGGGGCAAGGGGAGAGCATCCAGGGCTAAGGCTTTGCTCCTGGAAGTAACGCCGGCCAAACCCAGGTGCCTTCTCGTGGAGGGAGTTGTCTTTGTAGCTGAAAGCACCCTATTTTACTAAGTCGAGTCAGGGCCGTATGCAGTCTGTGATGTCATTCACTGTGCTTGCTGGAGTCACGTTTTCCCTGGGGAGGGGAGCCCGGGGTCCGCCTGGTCAGAGGCCTGTTAACCAGCCACTGAGGCGACCATTTTTAGAAACCTTGCCGCCGAGGGAGGGCGTGTGTGGCAAAACAACAGACATTTTAGGAGAAGCTGACATGCCTAACCGTACTTTTATTTTTAGGGCTTTTGCACAGTGAATGCCACTTTTTTAGGAGAGGAACATAAAAGCGTATTAGATATAATGTAGTCTGCTCATAAAATCATTGTGCCTGGTATATTTAAAGTATGGAAAAATCAGGAAAAATTATACTTATTCTATCTCCACTAGGCTCCTGCGTCTCCAGGTAAGCAGCTTGTGTGTTTTAAAGAGTCACCTTGACAGGCACCTTGATAATAGCAAGGTGAGGGGCCACAGTGAGGGGACACCTGGTGGGTCCCCTGGTTTATTGGGGGAGGGGCTTGTTCCTGGATTGGTGGTTTGATTTCTAAGTCCATTAAAGGTCTCAGAAGGCAGTCCCTCTTCCTCCTTTTTAAATTAAATTACGCCCCTTGCCTGAGGCCACAAAACCATGCTGTTGGTACTGCCTCTCCCTCAGACTCGGCTGCGACTATTTAGAAATTACAGGGAAAGCTACTGATGTGGATTAAGGTCCGTACAGAGAGATTCTTGAGAGAGAAGCAAAGCCTGGCTTGTTTGTGCCCCCTGAGAGGGTGAGGATAATGAACACGAGCAGTGTAGGGTATAAATAGGCCATGCTAGGCGAAGATCTAGATTGAAATTAAATGCCGATTTTTAAGTAAGAAAGAAAATGGGAGCGGGGGTTTGCTGCAGGTTCACGTAGTCTGGGAGCCCTGGTCCTCGCAGTGGATTCGGTGTGTGAACAGTTAGCGTTCATCGAAAGAGTTCCTGAAAGCTTGTTGTCCCCTAGTGACTGCCCAGCCCTCCGAGTGAGAACAGTGTGCATCGTGGAACTTTCCTCGAAGCCCATGCCCGCCCTGACCCCACCATGCACTCACCGGAGGCTCGGCTCCAAGGGACTGCAGCTGGCCTTGCGGAAGCTTCGGGAGGGGCCTGTCCCTGCTGCAGTCTTCCTGCTGCCTTCTGCAGGGACCCCCCTGTGTGGCCCGTCACGAGGGCAGCTGTTCACAGCAGACTCTGAAATAAGAGTTCTGGCTCTAGAATTAGAGAATTTGTTGGGCAGGATTGTTTCTGTTGAGCTTTGAAAGGGATTGTCTCTTCCTATTGGCTTATTTTTCATTCCTTTTGGGGACGATGAGGGTCGTAAAGGCCGATTTTAATCTGTGGGTTCTTGCTTCAGCCCCGATAGTTCCTAAACAACCGGGGGCCCCATTGCCACCAGCCAGGTGCTGCCATCTGTGGGTCAGACTGAAGTCTGGCCCTTCTCAGGGGCCTCAGAAGGGCATCCCCAGTCTAGCGTCAGGATCGTTTATGGAGCCCCATTGCAAAGATGGGAAAACTGAGGCGAGAGTTTAGCGGCTGGTGCAGGGCCACTTGCTCTGCTGTCTGGAATGTGCTTGGTGATAGGACGCTTCCGGTCCTTCCTGTCAACTGCAGGCAGACACAGTTGCTTGGAGCGCGTGGGGCGTGGGCAGTGGAATACTATACAGCTGTGAAACACCACGAGGAAGCTCTCTGTGTACTGGTAAAGAGCTCCAAGTTATGTTAAGAGGGAAAAGCAAAGTGCAAGACAATGTGTGCAAGTAAAAAGCCAGCATAAATCAATAGATGCTGATAGGCAAGGAATACCTGTATACTGGAAATAAACCCAGAAAACGGTGTCACCGGCTGCTTAGGAGGCCTGGGTGCAGGGTGGGGGAGAGGGAGGCTGCTCCCCGTGCTCGCTTTAGAATTTTGGACTGCTTATTAAACATGAAAATAAAAACTAATAGACTGTGTGTAGGGGTGAAGGGAGGCGGTCCAGTTGGGTGTTGGTTTGAGCTGAGAGCAGGGTTTCTGTGATGTCCGCTGGCCCAGGTGGCCCTGAGTTCTGATCCGAGGCCGGCAGAGAGTGCCTGCGCAGTAGCAGCTGTGCATCCCGGCCATGGCTTTGTCCTGCCACCTCCCTGGCCTGTCCATCATGAGGGGACAAGGCTCCTGGTGCCCCGTTCTAGAGGTGAGAGGTGCACTGAGCCCCCAGCCTTTTGACCTTATCTTAATTGTGACTCTCCCCTCAGTAACCTTCACTCCCCTCTGCCTGAGGTTTGCGGGTCCCCTGACGATGCTGATACCCTGGTGCCCAGAGCTCACAGGCCGGCAGGAGCCCATCAGCGACTCTCAGGGGTCAGGGTGACACTGGCGCATCGCCCATCGAGGCGAGGATGCGCAAAGTCGGCTTCCTGGGGGAAAGAAAACGGAGGTTTACTGCTGCGCCCCGCGAGCAGTGAGTCTGTGTCGGCGCGCCTCCTCCGTGCAGGGCGCCTCCGAGCAGCCAGCACCTCTCACGCGGCGTCTCTTCTCCCCCCGCAGGGCACCCTCATCCAGCACCTGAAGGAACACGTTCTTCACGGCAACATGACCAGCAGCGACATCATCTTGTATTACAGCACGGTGAGCAGCTTCGTAAGACACCAAGTGGGGTGCTGTGCTGAGAGGGGTGCCCCCTGCCCCGCTTCCCTCCTCAGACAGCTTTGGTTCCTTCCGGGCAGCCAGGCTTTGGGCTTTCCTTACCTGTTGGCTTTTCCCGTCGCACGTGTTAATATCAAGAAGCACAGCAGACCCCAGGCTGTGACCCCAGTCTGGGCACCACATTGTCATTGGGTACTTTGGCCTGCCCTCTGGAATGCCAGGTGCATTGGAAATTCTCAAGAAACCAAGGACACTACCACTTCAGTCCCTCGAGCCTCTAGAGGCGAGGGGTGAGAGTCACATGACTGAGATCTGCAGCCAGCCAGTGGGACAGGAACTTACTGAAGATGTCTGGAGGATTGTCACTTCTTAGCTGTGTGCAATAGGAAGTGTCTGCCTGATTCAAGCGGGAATTTACGGGAAGGCAGCGGGTGGCCTGGGGGCAGAACAACTGCCCCAAAGGTGACCACGCCCTAATCTCAGAATCTGAGGATGTGTGACCTTACTGGCAAAGGGCACTTTGCAGATGTGATTAAGTATAGGATCTTGAGATGGCGGTTTTCCTGGACTACCCAGGCGGCCCAATGTGATCACAAGGGTCCTTATAAGAGGAAGGCAGGAGGGTCAGAGTTAGCGAGGAGGTGTGATGGCAGAAACATAGATTGGAGTAATATGGAGCCATGAGACAGGGAATGGAGCCTTTAGAAGCTGGGAGGCCAACAAGGACCCTCCCATGAGCCTCCAGAAAGAACACAGCCCTGCTGACACCTTGATTTTGGGCTCCTGACCTCTGGAACGCTCAGATAATAAATTTGTGTCTTAGGCCACCAAGTTTGCGGCAGTTGTTACAACAGCAATAGGAAATGTATGCAGGTGGCTCACCCACTTACTGTGGTAGCTGGGGACCCAGATGTGGCAACCAGGCGGGGCCCGAGGGAGGCTACACAGTGAGACTGGAGCTGCCCCCATATTGCAGAACCAGGCTCCCTGCCCTTGCCCGGTGTGTGGACATGAGGTTCACGCTGCCAGCATGCCAAGCCTCTGCCCTGACGGGAGAGTTCTTTTCTGCCCATGCGTCCTCGCTGGTCTACCTGCTGGCTGAGCCCAGGTCACGTCCCAGCTGCCTGAGAAGCCGGCCAAGGAAATGTCTGGCCATGGTGCTTCTTGCTGAGGTATCGGCACTGGGATCCTGCAAAGGCTGCAGCATTCCCCAAATAAGGCAAGGGGTTCAGGTGGCCAAGAAAAAGCAAACAGGACACAGCAGAAACTGATGTCCTTAGAGTCCCTTCTCTGTGTCAGAAGTCGTTGGGACTGTGGCGGGAAACGGGATGGATGGGGTCCTGCCTCCTGCAAGCTCGGTCGCTCAGTGTAAAATATGCATCATCAGACCAAAGCTTGAGTTCAAGGGATTGGAGATATTCCTGTCCTTGTTGAATGTTGAATGATGAAAGGTTAGGTCAAGTTAAAGGAAGCTGTGTTTTATCCCAGGGGAGGAAAACTCAGAATTGGCTTTTTCCAAGACTGCAAATATCAGAAGGTTCCAAGATGATTTAGCTCTGTTTCCTGGATGATGACTTTGTGCTGAGTTTTTAAGGGCATGGAATGCTGGAGGTGCGTCCCTAAGCTGGGAGGTGATTGCCCAGGGCCCCGGCTGTGCCCCTGGAGACAGACCCAGGACCAGGCAGATATATAATAGGAGGGGAGCTGGCAGTGCTCTTGAGGCGTGCACGTGCGCAGGTGGCCTCATCTCTGTGTGTGCCCGGACGTAAGTCAAGAGGCTTCGGCCAAGGGATTCAGGTTTGTTTCAGCAGCAGGATTTAGCCCAGATCTCTGCTCTCTCCCTCCCCGCATGTGGGACAGTGGAAGGACTCGAAAATCTGGAGCATTTTTCTCAAAGTATTTCTCTTTTCCTGGAAGCATCCTGTGTGCGAAGGACTGGACAGTTGCATTTTCCCGTGAAGCAGGCTGGGGGTGGTTTCTGCGGGCCCCACCCGGCTGAGCCAGCCCGTGCTGGGTCCCTTACTCACCAGCTTTAACAGCTGGATGGTAAACTCCTGATGTGGAGTTGCTGGGGCAAAGCCTCGTGCATCTGAAACGGGCCGTTCTTGCCAGCGTTTGGCTCAGTTTTCGACGGTTTTCTAGGGAGGTGAGAGGCTGAGGGATGCAGGTGAGGGGAGCTGGCCAGCGCCTGGTTGACACTGCCTTTCGGTCTGTTCCAGGTCGGCTGGATGATGTGGAACTGGATGGTGTCTGCTCTGGCCACGGGCGCGGCTGTGGTCTTGTACGACGGCTCCCCCCTGGTGCCCACGCCCAACGTGCTGTGGGACCTGGTCGACAGGATAGGGTAGGTACCAATGTTTGGACGTCCCACCCGCCTTTCTCCTGAGCCCAGTCACGAGGAGGGGAGTCCTTCCTGTCATCAGCTGCCCCTCAGTGCCAGCCCGCTGTCTCCTGGGGTGTTCTTGAACCCTCACAAGAATGCTCCGAGGGGCTTTCTTGGTTGGGTGACAGGTGGGAATGCTAACAGCAGAGGCAGAGGCCAGTTCAAAGGCAGTGCCGGTGCCCCTCCCAAGGATTATGAAAACGGGGAAGGAGAAAGCGGTCCCTTCCCAACCTCATTCCCTTCCTCGTCGTCACTCAGACCCCGTCAGAGGACCCTGTTTCATCGCTGCTTTCTCTGCTGATGAATTAGTCATGATGGGTGGACACATTCTCGGCACTGCGGTTCTGGCCACTGCTGACCTACTTGGTCATGTTTTCAGGAATGGGAACATGGGAGCCAGCAGAGCCCCAGGGGTCGGAAGTCAGCCGCGCTCTGAGCCGGCCTAATTGCTTTAAGTTTCCACCTGCGCACAGTGGGGAACCAAGGAGCTGCTAACATTTTAAAACCCTTGGCCATTAATATTTTAAATATAAGTTTGCCCACTCAGCCTGGGAAGTATTTAAATCCTGACATTTGGCTCATGCTATTAGCCAGGAAGGTTCTTTCCCAATGAGCTTGTTTCCGGAGGAAGGTTAATCAAATCCCCAGGAACGTGGATGGCGCTAAGTTTTTTCCCCTTTAGTACGTGGCGAATGCGTGTGCGTGTGCGCATGCATAAGCGTGTGACGATATATATGCACGTTCCTGGGTGTGCAGGAGAGTATGTGTGGCCAGGGGAATTTTGTGGTCAGGGTTAGGGCTGGAACGCTGGGGTATTCTGATCAGGTTTTGCTAGTAACCGGCCAAGCCTCGAAGTCGCCTGTGCCAGCTGTCTCCCGGTGGGCACACTGTGGTCAGGTCTCCCAGATGGAGCGCTGGGATGCGTGAGCAAGCTCCTCTTTGAGTGAGCTCGTTGGGCAGGCGTGTGTCATGTTCTTCCCGCACCCTCCGCATGTTTGGGTGTCTGCTCTGCTCCCCGCCAGGCGGTGGCCCCAACGAGCAGGGCCCTGTCCTCATGAGGCTGGCACTGGGATGGGGGAAGGTAAGGAGAGGAGAAAGAAGTGCCTCTGTAGGTCTGGGGTCAGGGAGGCCCCGCGGAGGGGACAGCACTGGGGCTGGGGCCTGAATGTTAGGACTGGGGGACGGTCCACGCCGAGGCCCCGTGGGACTGAGATTGGTGTGTGAGGGAAGCTGGAAGGGCCCCTTGTGGCCCGAATGTGAAGAGTGGACGTGGGGGTGGGGGAGGGGCTCTCCAGGCTGTGCTCACAGGGGGCGGTTTCCCTCTGTGAAGCAGGGCACTGTTGGAATGTTTGAGTGACAAGGTCTGGTTTGTGTCTTTAAAGCTCAATATTCTGTGTGGGGAATGAATTCTGGGGGGGAGGGCAGATGCGGGGAACCCGGGTCTTAGGCTGGTGGGGTGCTCCAGGCCAGGGAGGGGTGGCCTGAGAGGGGCTGTCTGTGGCCTGTCTGCACATGACCCTTGAAGGACTCTGGGGGGGCGGGTCGGGGGAGTTTAGGGTCCCAGTGCTTTTGGAGCTGAGAAGTTGCCTCATTCCTTGTGGGGTGATTCCCAATGTACTCCCTAAAAATACGCAGCGCTGAGTGCCCACACAAGGGTTCCCGCACTTTGTGAACTAAATGTGTTTTGAAACCGTGTTATGTAAGCCCTGAAGATAGATGGGGAGACCTTGCCAGCTCTGCAGACAAGCAGGCTTGTGACTCAGGCCCGGGAATACTGTCTCAGGGCCCTAACCCACTGCCAAGGTCAGGTGCATGGACGTACACCTCTGACTGAAACACTCTTTAGAACCACAGAGAGCCATTGGTTTGGGAGGGTGTGGAGGACAAGAGAATAAAACACGTGTGGTTTTGGGGTGGAGTGGGGGATGAGGACAAATTCCGCATGCTGTTTTGGTGCGCTTGGTGACAGGATCTCTGTACCTATGGCCGGGGACAGTCATTGCTGTCCAGGGTTGGTGCTCCCCATCAGAGGGGGATGGGGTCCCTGGTCTCCTGTTAAATATAGATATTCCCAAAGGGGTGACAGCTCATCCTTAGAGATGATCGCAGTTAGTTCACCAGATTATTTAAGTTTATGAAATAAACACGGGACGGGTGGGGGTGGGGGTGAGGGAGATGGTGGGAGAAGCGTGTCTGTTTCCTGCTCCCCACAGCCCCACCTCCCGAAACAAGCATCTCTAGGGAACAGGTGCCCGAGGCTTTAATGGTGGGTTTGTGGGTGGCAGGGGGGTCCTGGTGCAGAGAGTAAGAGAACAGTAGTCTTGAGGGGGCGCTACCCTGCTGTTGATTTGGCCACTTCCTGCCCAGCCAGCCCCGAGTCACCCAATGCCCTGTGTTCCGTTGCCTCTTCGCATCAGAGCTCATCACCCAGGTGTGAGGGTGAGGCTTAACTGCCCAGAGAGGTGAGGACAGGCCTTGGCTTTATAGCCTCCTGTGAGCTCCCAAGAGAAAACATTCTCCCAGGAAGACAGAGTTTATGTGTCAGCCGAGGAAGGAAATAGAATATTAAATAGCACTCTCCCCTTCAAAACACAATGATTTATACTCAACGTACTGTGTGGTTTTCTGAGCGTGAACACTGGTGTAAATGACTGTAGTAGATTCTACGTGTTCGAAAAGAGAGGAGCTGCCATTTTCTAGGTTTCGTGAAAGTGTGAGCTTAATTGAGACACAGGGACGGGCCAAGAATCCCAAGTGCGGCACTTGTGCTCCCCGAGACCCTTCGCCCTCTGCACGCCATTGGACGGTGAGCGCGTGAGGTTAGAATCTCACACGTCTGGGCGTTTTTCATTTTGATTTTGTGGCCCCCTTCGGCCCCCCCAGAGAAAGTAGTCTGCAGCTGGGGAGACACTGGGTCTGTGTGGAAAGGATAGTTTTCAGTAGAGCCCAGTCCTCACGGGAGCCCGGTGCCCAGCACGCTGGAGTCGTGTGAGGCCCTGTCGCTGCTGTACCCAAGGAAACATAGCTGTTGTGACTTGTGTCCCACTAAATATGAAGTATTAGTCCAGGAAAATGACGTGTCTTGGATTTTGCACGCGTGTCGGAAACGAGCCACTCATTTTAGAAAGAATCCTGCAGCGTTTCTGGTGTTTTCTTTCCCTCCTGTGCCCTCAGCATCACCATCCTCGGGACGGGTGCCAAGTGGCTGTCGGTGCTCGAAGAAAGAAACATGAAGCCAGGTGAGTCCTGTCGGCGTCTGCTCCCAGACTGCCAGCCGAGGAAACCACACCCGCCGTGCCACCCAGTTCCTGCGCCAGGCCAGGCCAACGGCACCGCATGTCGTCCTAATCTTTTGCTGATTCTTCGCCCTAGTGGAAACCCACAGCCTCCAGACTCTTCACACGATCCTGTCCACTGGCTCCCCGCTGAAAGCCCAGAGCTATGAGTACGTGTACAGGTGTATCAAGAGCAGCGTCCTCCTGGGCTCCATCTCAGGTATGGCTCCTGTGTGCTGCCACCGGGAGGGGTGTCCTGCATGAGTCAGGGGACGTGGGGACACGTCCAAGCTGGTCCGCCAAAGCGTGCACACTCTCTGACACAGCAACACCTGCGGGGTGGCTCGAAGCGGGGGCGAAGCGTCCATTTTCCATGAGCCTGGGTCCTGACTTCCAGGGTGACCACCCCTCCAGCAGGGAGACTCGGGCGAAAGGAAGCGACCCAGACCAGGGAAGTTCGCTCCAGTGTCTAAATCACCTTGCCCATTTCTCCCTGAAAAGAAGCTCCACCTGTCAGGGAATTTGTCAGTATTCACCTGGAGAAAAAGTGGTAGATATTTGTCCTTTGGGGTCTTGCTCCTTTGCTCCCTGCTAATGAAAAACATAAGCAGTCTGTGCCAGTCCCCTGACGTTTGAATCTCCCTTGTCATTGTCACAGGTGGCACCGACATCATCTCCTGCTTCATGGGCCAGAACCCTTCCCTCCCCGTGTACAAAGGGGAGATTCAGGCACGGAACCTGGGCATGGCCGTGGAGGCGTGGGACGAGGAAGGTATGGCCTTGCCCGCCGTTGCTTTTCTGTTACTTGGCGTGAGTGGTCACTTGGATGCACGTGGATGTGTGTGTACGTTTGCGCGGGGTCAGTTCTCCGGAACCCCGCTGTCTGAGAGGGGCGGCCCCTCTCACTTGCAGATTGATGTCCTCCCAGCCCAGTTTAATAGCTGCTGGGCTCCTGTCCCCAGCCCCCGTTAGCCTGCCCACCTGAGAAGTAGGTGTTGGGCCGGAGCATGGACGGACGGAGAGCTGGTGCTCAGGCACAGCCGGTGGGCGTGTGTATGTGTTGGCATCCAGGCCTTGCAGACGCTGCTGAGGCAGCCTCACTGCCTGCCCAGCCCGACACCCTGACCTTGACGAGGCCCATGCGGGAGCTGGGGGCTGGTCCCCTGCTCATCTCAGGACAGACTTGTGCTTTGTAGCCTGTAGCGGCCACTGGCTATAAATCAGCGAAGCCTGATTGTGTCTCCAGCACCACCCTGGGCCTGGTGTGTGGTGCGTGCACTGCACAAGTTCACAGACTTATGCTGCAGTTCATGTTTGCACTGTAGCTGCCGTTACTCTAACCTGACGGAGTGAATGGGGAGTGATGCCGACCGCTGTTTGCGTGAGGAAGGTGGAAAGGCAGAGCAGCGGGGGCCACACAGGTTAGGGGCTGGAAGCCTGGACGGTGCAGCAAGCGGCTCTCCTTCCTCCTCCAGTTCATGGAAAACGTTTTCTGGATATCAGCTCTCGTTCTCACAAGGCCTTTCCCTGGCTGCCCAGAGTGACTTGCTCTGTTCCTTATGTCTGCTTTCTTCCCAGCGGTCTGCTCTGTCTCTCCTGGGCCTGGTTTCAGATGCACGTTATCTGCCCGCCTTAGCTGTCGGGGTTATTGTGGGATGGAGAGCTAGCCAGGGGGAGAGAAGTTGGAAACATCAGAAGCCCCTGCATATACACAGTGGAGGGAGATGGTTTCTCTGGTCCAGCCTTGCTGTGCCCGCCTGTGGGAGGTGCTGGGTGAACAGGACCAGCCGGCTCACCGCCTCCGAGGGCCGAGTCCCTGGAAGGGACGCTGTCCCGCCCTCCCTGTGGGCCTCCATGGCCTGCGAGTTCCTGGGGCTAGAAACTGTGACCCAGTACAGCTTTTTTAGCAGGCAGTTTGGTGAAGATCCGTAGGTACCCGGTGATCTGGGGGTTCCAGTGCGGGGAGAAGGACCTGCACATGCACACAGGTGCCACGTGCAGGAATAGTCATAGCAGCGTGGTTTGTCATGGGGAGCGGCAGTGACAACGGATGGACTGGAGTGTGTGAACGAGTCACCCGGAGGTTTTGCTGAAAGAGCAAAGCACGATGGTGGACGTGCGCAGTAGGGTGCCATTTATGCCAAGGTTAGAAACATGCAACGGGACGGTGCATGTTCAGGGATGCACGTTGGCGTGGTACAAGTGTTAACACACACGGGATTAATGAAACATTTGAGGGGGAGGTTTGGGGGAGTGCGTTGGGAGGGCGAGTCACCGGGGAGGAGTGAGACGCCGTCAGTGACACTGCAGGGTGATGGCATGTGGCTGCGGAGCAGCTCTGGCTTTGCATGTGTCGGGAAGTCTGTGTAACAGGTAACAGGTGACGAAAGAGCGAGAGCGCGCAGGTGTGCTGGGGAGCGTGGCTGTGGTGTGTGCTCAGGTGGTTTTTACTTCCTCCCAAACCAGGAAGGGCGGTTTGGGGAGAGAGCGGAGAGCTGGTGTGCGTGAAGCCATTCCCCTGCCAGCCCACGCACTTCTGGAATGATGAGAGTGGCACCAAGTACCGGAAGGCATATTTCTCCAAGTTCCCAGGTAGGTCGGGGGCAGGCAGCTGCCCTGAGTCCCGCCTGAGCTGCGCCTTCTGGGCCTGATTCTAGATGCACCGTCCCCCTCCCACACCCACCCCTCCAAAGCCTGGTGAAGCTGCCCACAGCTCACTCTGCCAGTGGGGAGATAGGAACTTTGGATCAACATCTTGTCGTCTTCAGCTTGAAGCCATCGTATGAAACCATCGCCTGGGCTTAGTGCACTCTTCCCCGCCCTGTGTGCCCAGGGCCCCTTGGCCCCACGGGAGCGGGCCTGAGCCGCCGGTGGCATGCGCAAGGCTGGAGGGCCGGCTCCCTTACTCAGGATGGTGCCTGCCTGTCAGAGGAAGGGGGTGTGTACAAGAGGCGCCTGGCCTGGGACTCTGCCTTTCCGCCCCCACGCATTGCGGGCCCTGCGGAGGCATTGGAGTGAGAGTGCTTTGCGGCAGGGACGGTTTCCTGCCAGGCCCAGCCCTCTCACACAGGCTGACACCCCCCTGAGGACGGCCGTGCTGCAGGCACAGAAGCCTTTTATTGAGCGCTCCGATCCTTGTCTCCTTATCTTATTTCATAAGCAACCTCGAGTTATTGCTGCTGTAGAGTTCATAATTTAGCAAGCCTTCTGTCCCGGAGTTATTTATACTAAGGACTCGCTGTCTGCAGTCTCGCGAAAGGTAATCTGATTCTGCATAAACCACATGTGGAGAATCAGAAAACGGCTGGTGACCGTCGGGGAAGTAATAGAATGTGCCGTGTAGTCCTCGCGTCTCTCTACTGGGCCTTGTGTGTTTGCACGTCCGCTGTGAAAGCCATTGTCCCCAGCATTTCCCCTCCCCCCACGGGAGTTGCAGGAGCAGCCCCCTCCACCCGCCCCCCAGGTGTAGCTTGGCTTCCACTGGATAGCCAGCTGGTGCCTTTAAGCCCCACCTCGGGTCCTGCCAGTGTGTAGCTGTGCAGACAGACTAGGGCAGAATAGAGAGAGATTATAGAGATAAACGTCCCTCAGATGACCCTGGAGAGAGGGCAGGGCGCCTGCCTGTCTTCGGTTCTTAGGGCAGAGGGGCCAGAAGGATTAGAACTGCGGCTGGAGACCCCTCTCTTCATCTGCAGCTCTGCCTTCTGAAAACTGTCACTTTCTGCTATGTGTACAGGGGCTCAGGTGATAAATTCTCTCAGGACTAATCTCAGAATAAATCTTTCTCTTTTTTTGGAGCCCTGATATTCCTTCTTGGAGAAAACAAATACTTTGTCACCTGTTATATTTCCATTTTTGCCTTGGCTGCCAGGAAACTCAGTTGAAATCATTGCTTCGTTATAGCGCTCTTACCCCCAGTACGCGGTTTCGGATTCTCTTCAAGTAGTCCCATTGTGTGGTTGGTTTTATAGGTAATTTCCTCAAATGCTTTCTGGGAGTGGGTGGGAGATAGGAATAAATGTGGAAAGAGAAATGCAGGGAAGATAGTGGGATCGGAAGCCCTTGGCCGTGGAGAAGGGTGGCCACGGCCGAACAGGCTGCTGCTGTGGCTGATGACTTCCAGGTCCCTGCAGAGCCAGTGGCCCCGTGTGTGGCTGTGTCCCAGGGACACCGTGCAGCAGGAGGCGGCCTCCGGCTGGTGTACTTGTCCCTGGTGGTTCCCACATGAGGCGTGGCTTTGGAGGATGTGTCCAAAGCTGGGGTTGGTTCCTTGAGTATATTAGCTGTGCCGTGCCCAGCATGAAGGCCGCCCTCTGAGCAGCAGCAGCCCAGGACCCAGCTGCACACGACAGGCCGCCTGGGGCTGGTGCAGGGCACCTTTGATTCTTTCCTCTTCCCCCACCCTCCATGTCCCCTGGGTGTCACCTGCTCGTTAGCTCCCTGTCCACGTGGCTGGTGCCTTGGTTACAGCCTGTGTTACTGGGACGCTTGCCATAGTCTCCAGCTTGGTTCTGCTGCTTCTGTTTATTCTGTTCTGAGAGTGGCCCCTGCCCCTCCAGACTCCTCTCTCTTCCTACATCATGGCCTCCACTCAGAGGGCCCTCCCACAAAGCTCCCACTGACCTCCCTTGGACCTCCTGTTTCTATCCGCATGGCCGGAGTTGGTCTCACTGTCTGAATTCCCGTGGCCCTTTGGCGACTGCAGGAGGAACATTTCTCGAATGCTGGCGCACGTCAGCTGGGTGTACCCTGGCCCCCCAGTAGACCTGTCATCTTTGGGGGCAGGGGCTGTGGTTCACTTCTGCCCCCCAGCGCCCGGTCCCCGCCCCGTACCACACCCGTTTCGGGCCTCGGCTGTGTCTGGTGATGAGAGTTACATTGCTGATTGCCGAGTGTCCTGTTGCTGTCATGCCTGCCTCAGGTGTCCGTCTGGGCAGCTGGTCAGGGCCCCTGCTCCTCGGTGTGACCGAGCGTCTCTGCCTCCCTGCAGGTGTATGGGCGCACGGCGACTACTGTAGGATCAACCCCAAGACCGGGGGCATCGTCATGCTGGGCCGGAGGTGAGGGGTCTGCCATCGGCTTCCCTTCCCTGGACACCCACCCTTTACCCCTCCCAGAGGCATCGGGCAGGGGAGAGGGGGCGCTTCCTGTGCCAGTTTCCTGAGGGCCTGCTCCACGTTTCTGTGCCCCAAAGTGGTGGTCACGGGGGCATGGGGCGGAAGGCCCACAGCCGAGGCACGGCCAGTGACTGTTCACACTGGCGACAGCCCTTCCGGGCTGGGGAGGGGCGTGGGTCTTGGGCCCCATACCACACCTGGGAGGGAGGGACTGGTGTACAGGTGGAAGGGGCAGTGAGGTGACAGATGTTCCCACACGAAGGGGACTCCCCTGATGTCCAGCTTTGAGTTTAGAGAGAGTAAGAGGGGTGGCTGGTCGGGACCAGGAGCCTTTAATGAGCGGGCCTGGTGTCGCCATGTGGATGGGGGGCTGACGGGCCCCCGTCTCCTCTGCGGCGTGCCCCACCCGGGACCTGCCGTGGCTTCATGTGTTTCTCTTTTCCAGTGACGGCACGCTCAACCCCAACGGAGTGAGATTCGGCAGTTCGGAAATCTATAACATCGGTATGCGCTTCCCCGTTCTCCTGAGCTCTTCTTCTCAGGGCGCCCAGGAAGGAAGGGGTGTCCCCGCGGAAGCCTGGAGGCCTCCTTTCCAGAGGACTCCTCCCATTTGCCTGGCATGAGGACAGGCAGTCAGGACCTACATTGTCCACGCTGCTTGTCGCTCAAAAACCTTAGATCCCGAGGCCACCTGGCCCAGCCCCGGCCCATCCGCGTGCTGATCTCCGGGCTGCTTACTAATGTCTGCCCTTTATGGGTGAAGAAGCAGAAGCGCAGAGGCTGCGTGGTGGCCGCAGGTCGCAGGCGCCACGCAGGACACCACACAGAGGCAGAGCAGGCCTCACGGCTGCGCAGAGGGCCCCCTTGCAGACCTTCAGAGTGCCTAGGTCAAGGTCAGGTCAAGGCTGGTTGGGCAGCCAGCGTGGAGAAGTCCTGACCCACCTGATTCCAGCCTTTCCTCCCTCCAACCCCCACCCAAGGGACTCGCTTCCTTTTTATATTTAAATTAGTGTGTAAAGCCAGCAGGCTCCATAGGTGACCTCCTTGCAGAATGTCAGCAGGGCCAGCTCCAGCTCCCTCTCTGCCTATCTCTCCCCCGCACCCCAGGCTTCTTCCCAGGAGGCCTGGGAGGAGACATGGGCAGTCCCTGAACAGCTGGGTGGCCTGGCCGTCCCGTCCGGCCTGTGGGTGGGCTCGGCTGAGGCCAGACAGTGTGAACACGGCCCCTTGCCCTGTCTCTGCAGTGGAAGCCTTTGAGGAGGTGGAGGACAGTCTCTGCGTCCCCCAGTACAACAAGGACGGCGAGGAGAGGGTGGTCCTCTTCCTGAAGATGGCTCCCGGGCACACCTTCCAGCCCGACCTGGTGAAGCGCATTCAGAACACCATCCGCATCGGCCTGTCGTCCCGGCACGTGCCCAGCCTCATCCTGAAGACTGAGGGCATCCCGGTAAGGCCACGGTGGGGCTCTGCCTCCTGGCAGCCGTGACCAGAGCGCCGTCATTGCCCCACGAGCCCACACACTCAGCAACTCATCTGGGAGCTTGCTTGTGCTTTATATATAGTTTGTCCCCGTTGCCTGGCAACGCCACCCTTTTTTTCCTGCCGTCTCTCTCTTTTTTTTTTTTAACCCTTCCTAAATTGCATTGTAAAGCAACTTGTGCTAAACACCGACCGGTGTTCAGAGGGTGAGCAGGCCCAGCCCTGCACGTCCAGCTGGCTTTTCCTTGATGCGTTTTAGTGTGTTCTCAAAATTATTAATGAGAAAATTAATTCTAACTTTTTAAAGAGCCTCTGGGGTGCTGTTGCTCTCTCCTTCTCATTTTAAGCTCTCCCTGCGGAAAGAAGGTTTGAATCTATTTAGAGGCGCTGAAAGTGGCGCCCCCGTTTGCACGCTTTGTTTAGGTTCTAAGTGGGGGGAGGGGGTCTGCCCAGACAGGATCGCAGCTCTAACTTGCACTGCTCTCAGCTGAGTGTGAGTGCATGCGCGTGCGTGTCATGCATGTACGTGCGTGTACATGCGCGTGCATGCACACAGAGCCGTCTAAATACACAGACGAGCCAGGCTGTCCCTTGAGCCTGCGGAGTAGCCGATGACGGAGGAGAGGGGAGCAGACACCGATGGGGTCACCAGGTGAAGCCACGTTTGGTGCTGCCACAGCAGGGTTGGCATGTGAGGTACCATTAGAGGCAGGATCGACCGGAGGGGCTGCCTCGTGGGAAACACTGAAGGATGCGATGGCATCGACTCTGAAACTCCTAGAGGAGGCTGACACGGTGCCCTTGGCCTTAAAGTTGTAGCAACACCTTCAACACAGCATCTCCAGGCCGAGGGCTGGGGGCGCGCTCCTGGTGGGCCTACTGTGTGTGGGTGCTCAGAGCCCCTTCCTCTCTATCTCTCTGTCTGTCTCTCTCCTCACTGTCTCTGCCTCTGTCTCTGACTCTGTGGAGACGTTGTAGGTACTTGAATCTGACCCTTCCTGCCTTTTCCTGGTGAGGGTCTAAGGCTTTCCTTCAGTGAATCAGTTCTGTCGGCATTTGGACCATTTTGGGAAACTGGAATTAGAGTTTGTCCTCTCGGTTTCACCTTTGTTGGAGAAGAACCTGTGTCCTTCACTGTCAGAGTGGTTATTCCCAAACTTCATCTGCTCGTGAGAATAACAGAGCGATTTATGAGAAGGTGAGGAAGACCACGAGCTGTTCTCGGAGCTTCTGTGTAAACCTTAGAAGCACATAAAGCATGTGAGATGCTTGCATGTCAAGGCGAGAGGGGCCGATGACACCAGTGACAGGCAGTCCCCTGGAAGCCATCGCTAGATTCTTAATTAGTTCACACGTCTTCTGAGTTTCTCAAGTTAATAAATTTTAATTACATCGCAGGTTAAAAAAAGTAGTGCCAGTGAGAGGAGAGAGCAGGGTACCAGCAGCTTTATTAAAGGGCTCTGTTTTTCTAGAAGCTTCCTGGCCCCTATCCACGCTAACGCCACCACCAGAAGCCCATTGGGATTACAGACGAAGTGCGTGTGCTCTGAGGAAAAGTAATGTCTCATCCTGGCTCAGATAAATGACTCCGAGGAAAAATTTTGCAAAAGTTTGGTGAGGCAGCTGGATGAAGCTCTCTTTCTGGTTGCAGACCAGTGACAAAATCATAGGAAGCGTGAAATAATAGTCACAGCTAGTCCCTATAACAGCAGTTCTCAACCTGAGTTGCGACCCCTTTGGAGGTCGAACGACCCTTTCACAGGGGTCGCCTAAGACCATCGGAAAACAAAAAGATACTTACATTACCATTCATCACAGTAGCAAAATCACAGTTATAGAGTAGCAACAAAAATAATTTTATGGTTGGGGGTCACCACAACATGAGGAACTGTATTAAGGGGTTGCGGCATTAGGAAGGTTGAGAACCGCTGCCCTATAATATAACAAAGTGTAGTCAAGTCAATATAAGTCATAAAATAAAAATGAAGCATAACTGTGAGGCACTTCTGAGAGCTGTGGTCGCTCCCTTAACCTTACGGCCTCGGGGGGAGGTGCTGTCACCCCCATTTTGCATTCGAGGAGACAAGCTCAGGTTTAGGTGTGGGCCCCAGTCACCCAGACGCAGTGGCGGAAATCCCGTCCGTTCCCCATGGCTGAAGGCTTGTCCCTCTGTGCGCCTGTGTTTAGGGCTGAGAGCCTGAGGCCTCAGGTCGAGGTCGGTCTTCCCGGATGGGCTGTGCTGAGGTACCAGACCCGACTGCCTTCTTCCCTGCTTCGGGTTTAAACGCTGTTTTTGTGTGTTTTCCTGGCAGTACACCCTCAACGGCAAGAAAGTGGAGGTGGCGGTGAAGCAGGTGATCGCTGGGAAGGCCGTGGAGCACCGCGGGTCCTTTTCGAACCCTGAGACCCTGGATTTGTACCAGCACATCCCCGAGCTGCAGGGCTTCTGAGTGGCCGGCGGGCAGCCTCGCTGCGACACGTGTTGGCACCGTGACGGCTATGTGTTCAGGGATTCGCTTAGACACCCGCAGTTCTTTGGAGCAGATTTGCACTAGTGTCTGTGGGATTGGGGAGGTCGTTTTTCTCGTTCCCTGGGGACTGCCTGAGTCGCCACACGCACAAGTGGGATTCTGACCTGGAGGCTGACAGGGGCCTTAGGGCGTGTGTGTGGCAGTCTGTGTGGGTGTGTGTCTTTGCACACGCGCTCTGGCACGCATGCACAGGAGGAGCGGGGGTCTGCCTGTGTGTGCGCATGGAGGGCGCTGGCTGGCGTTCCGGTGACAGCACAGCCCCAAGGAGCCATCGTGTCCTCAGCGTCCTCCTGTGGGTCCCCTTCACTCGGCTAAGGTGCACAGCTTTCTTCCCTTGACTTTTGTCTCTGGCTCTGGCCGTTGTCCCTCAGGCCACATGTTACAAGGCACCCCAGTGTGACTTCCTTCATAGCATTTTCCTGTAGCTGGTTGTCAGGACCAGTCAGCTGGCTGACCGCCGTGCATTGTCTGTGTGACAAAGGGAGCACACGCATTTCCTGCTGGAACCCTGTGTCACTCACCAAACGGCCCCGCCCCGCCGACGGACAGTTTCCTCTGGAGAACCAGTGGGTTTCATGCTTTACTCGCAGCTCTCTGTCTCATGGACTTGGAATGGTTTAGAAATCTTTAATGTGAATTGTCTGTGGGTATTTGAAGAACTGGATGTCCACCCTGTGGGTGGCCCCCCAGGTGGCGGGTCACCGCGGGTCCCTGGAGACAGAGCTGCCCGGCCTGCGGGGACATGGCCCCGCGGCAGTCCTCCACCTGAGGACTGTCCCTCATCAGCGCCTGTTCCTTGTGTCGCGGGTCTGATGGGTGGTTTGTATGTTCTCTTCAGTTCAGCATACTAACAAGGCCCTGGATTCATAATGTTCATTTTTGTATTTTTTAAAACTAAGCCCAATGTCTTACTTTTTTGAATCCCTTTCCTTCTGGATTATAAAAATATAGGGGGGAAAGTGCCATGAGGACTTTATTGCAATAAATAAACATATGTGTGTATGTACACACACTGCACATGTGTTTTCTATGAAGGAGATCGACTGGCTCCGTGGGCGGGAAGCTGGGTGTTTTGAGGGGGGCCAGCCGGGGGCTGCGCCCTGGGAGATGCTTGGTCCAAATGGTTGGGGCATTTCCTGGGCCCCTGGTGACTAAATGAAGCCACACCCCAGGGGGTGATAATGTCCTCACCTGGGCTCTCTCGTGGCTCAGGGCCGGTGTCTGGATAGAGCAGCTCTTACCTTGTCATTGCAGGAGCCGTGCGTCACTTGGATTGTGTCTGGCTGCAGGTCACAGAGCCCAGGCTCAGCCCAGTAGGGCTTATTTTCCTCATGTCACAGGAAGTTGGAGGCCGGCTGTTCTCCTGGGGCCAGTGTAGTGACGCACGATGCAGCAGTGCCCAGCTTTTTCTGTTATCTGTGCTCCGCTGTCCTCCGCGTGTGGCTGCCCCGCCTCTAGCCCCCCATCTGTGTTCCAGGCAGGAAGGACAGGAGGGCTGGGTAAAAGGCGAAGAGCCCACTCCCCTCAGTCGGTCCCTTAGCTGCAAAACAGTGGCTTTTTTGGAAACCCCACCCCGGGCTCATCTGTTTATGCGTCAGTGGTCGGAAGTGGGCCACCCCTAGCTGCAAGGGAGTCTGGAGAGCTGAGCGTTTTTTTTTAGATCTGAGTATTTTAAAACAGGACCTATTCCCTTTTTGTATTAGTCTCCTGCTGCTGCTGTAACAGAATACCACGAATGCAGAGGCCGAAAACAACACAATGTTTGTATTTGCAGAGGTTAGAAGCCTGGCCTGGGTGTCAGTGGGACTGAGAGCCTTCTGGAAATTCTTGGGGAGACTCTCTTTCTTGCCTTTTCCAGCCTCTGCAGGCCACTCGCATCCTGGCTGGGGGTTCCTTCCTCCACCCTGCAGAGTCTGACACTGCTGCCCCAGACCTCATATAAGGACCCCTGCGATGACACTGGCCCCACTTGAATAACTCAGGATACTCTCCCTGTTTTACCATCTAAAGACCAGCAAGTTTAATTCCATCGGCAACCTGACGACCCCCTGGCCATGCAACTGGACATTTTCACAGGTTCTGGGGGTTGGGATGCGGGCATCTTTGGGGGACCACAGTGGTTGTCGGGAAGGTGTGAGCCCTGAGCTGGAAGAACTGGGTGGTCGGGACCCTTGGTTGTTGACTGCGCCCGGGTTGGGCTTATCCTCCCCATGTGACCTCCCAGGGCTCAGGTCAGGCCCGGGACACACACTTCCTATTGAGCGTGCCTGAGCAGTCATTACGGCTTAATCACTGTGCCCTTGAGTCCCGGCAGGATGTCCCAGGCTGGCTAAGCCTACATGTCCTTATTAATAAGCTGTGCCGGACAACTTCATTAATGAGAGACAGATGGTCAGGAACAACAGCCGCTGGAACGCCCGCCGTGCCGGCTGGCCTGCGATGTGCCTTGGCCCTAGCATCACTCAGGAAACCCACCACCTGCTGGCCAGCTGTCTTCTCCGCGATGGCCGCAGGCCACACTAGCCTTTCGCGTTCCTTTCAGTTCCCCACCACGCACGTCCCCGCAGCCACTTCAGGAAGCATTAGGATCTGCCGAGCAGCCTGGCCCCTGGGGCCCCCGAGCGGCTGTTCCTCTCCTGAACCTGCCGTCCTAGCGCCGGGAACTTTCTCGAGGCTGGAGGGCTCCTCCCCGCTTGCACCGTGCCCATCCCCACCTTCTCAACCGGTGCAGGCTCATCTGAGGGACCGTGGAGCTCCACGTCGAGTGACTCGATCCTGGTCGCCACCCGCCCTTCCGTGTCTGCCAAGCGCCTCGGCCCGGGCTTTGAACCCAGCCTCTCTCACTGCGGCCCCTGCGGCTGGTCCCTCCCCGTTCTGTGCCCTGGAGGACCCCAGATGTGCTCAGTCACCTGGACCCCAAGGCCCTAGCACAGGGCCTGAGCCTGCCATGCATTGGGAAAGGCGTCTCCTTGGCTCCTGACCCGCTCATCCCTGTGGATGTGGGGCACCAAAGAGACCCTTCCCTCAGGTCTTCAAGTGCCCAGGGCCAGGGTCTCACAGAGAACAAAGGCCCTTTGTTCTCTGCCACATCCCCTGACGTGGCTTCAGCCTGCTGAGGGGAAGTGGCACACAAATTCATGGGGGGTGTGCTGTAGTCATTCGGGTACAGGCTAAGCTGCTGTAATGAGCACCCCCATATCCCGCTCAATCGGGAAAGAGTTGTTTTCCTGTAACAGCCCTGAGGTCAGTGGGTGGACCAGGGTGGGTTGGTGGCTTTGCTTCGCAGGGTCACCCGAGGACCTGGGTTTCCTCCATCGGGCTGCTGTGTGATCCCCGTGGTGGTCTTGTCCACGTGGCTGAAGCTGCCTCCCTCAGTTCACATTGCAGCCCCTTGGGACAGGGGCCCGGGAGGAGGCGGCCCCATCCCTACTGCTCATGTCCCAGCGGCCACAGCTTCGTCACATGACAGCACTAAGCTGCAAGGAAGGAGGCTGGGTGGCGTGCTCGTCAGCTGGGTCCCACCTGTGGGTCCTGACCCGTAACTGGACAGTCAGCCTGGGGTAGGGCGGGCGCGTGCGTGCGGAGGCAATGCGCGTTTGTGTTCGTGTGTCTGCCTTTTGAGGTAAACTAAGCTTTGTGGGACAAGCTCCACGTAGTGCTCACGGTCACGCGACCTCCGCCTGGGCCCCAAACAGCTTCCGGCTTGGAGACAACCTCAAGCAGCCTTTTCTGGGTGTCCTTCAACTGATGGGCCCTGTGTTTGTCACTGGGTCACCAAGGTTGTGAGCTCCTCATGCTTTGGGGGGTGTACATCTTGGGGAGGGAGACAGACGGTCAGCAAGGAAACGAGACAATATCTGACCGGATGTGATGGTCGGGGGCCTCACTCAGGCGGTGACAAGGAGACATGGCCTGAGAGGACAGATTCCGCCAGTGAAGGTGGAAGGCAGAGGAAAGCTCACGAGCCAAGGTCCCGAGAAGGGAATGGCCTGCCCTAGAGGAACCCAAAAGAGGCGATTTTGAGAAAGGGGCTGGAGAGCCGAGTGGCAGAGGCACGCTGGGCCGCAGAGTGTGGAGTGTGGAGTCTGTTCTAAGGGTGACCAGGAGGCCACATGGGTTTTGAGCCCAGCAGTGACATCAGGGAATGTGTGTTTAGAGAGTGGCGCCAAGGACAGTGCCTGTTGGTTGCCTCGGTGGGTGCAGCGGGAAGAGTCCGGACTGGGGGCCGGAGGGGCGGCAGACTTCTCCCGGCCTCAGCTCAGCGGCTTCCTCCTGTCTCCTCCCGTCCCCTCTCGCTGTCGCCCCGAGCATCGCTTGTGCACAGAACACGAGGCCGGTTCTGGTTCATCCAGCAATTAGGTGTTGAACACCCAGCAAAGTGGGCCGGGGGCCCATGGCGTTCAGCCGGGAGCCCGAACTGGCTTAGATGAGCTGCGTTTCTTTCTCTCCAGGCCACACTGCCCTGCACACGCGCAGACTCGTTCTAAAAGCCTATTGCCATTTTGTCCCCAAACCGTCAAGACTCTCATATGCAAATAAGCAAAACTTGTTAAGACAGTGTTGAAAACACTGCGAGCTGAGTGAAAACACTGGCTCCATGCATGTTGGAGCATGCACTTGGCCGGCACAGCCGAGAATGGACAGTCTCATAATTTCATTAGATGACTTCCAAGGCCGGAGCGGCTGTTCGTAAATTCATTACACTCTGGAAACAGCTTCCAACACCTTCATCTTGGGATGCCCCTCCACCCCCACCCCCGCTTTTCTTCCCTGGCTCGGGGTCACTGGGGTTTGGGAAGAATGACAGGGACGGTTGTCTAGGGGCCCCCATACGGCTCAGAGCCAATTTTCATTTCTGGGCTCTGAGCTTATCAGTGTCCCCGTTCCTTCCGACCCAAATGGAATGAGTGGGGGAGGGGAGGCCCCTCCCAGGAGAACCAGGGTGCTGATGGTAGAGGGGTCGGTGAGGATGGGTCCCCGATGGGCCCCAGCACCCCGCTCAGCACAGTGACGGGGACGTTAGCGAAACGGCGGAGTTCTAGGTCAGGAGGAGAAGAAAGGCCCGCCTCACGCTTACGCCTTCGGCGATGATGAACCTGCAAGCGTAGCCTTGTCTCAGGAGGGACGGAGAATTAAAGAACTGCCTGGGCCTTGCCTGGAAGAGTGCCCACGTGGAATTTTGAGGAAAAAAATGGCTTTTCGGGTTCTGACTGTTCACATGTACTGAACACAGATGAGACTTCCATGCACAGACAGCAAACACGAGAATTGGACTTTGCGCATCAGCCAGGTTTCAAGCAAGGCGGGCGCCTTCTGAGAGGGAATAGCTCTGTCTGTAGCTATACAAGGTGATAAAGCCACCTTACCAACTGCAGTTCTCTCGGAGTTAGCATTTTCTCTACGGAGAGAGGCGCCTCGGACCTTGTGGCACGGAAAGAAAAACGGCAGAAAGTGTTTGGACACTTCTCTTGGTCAGGGGGCATGTCTGCAGCCCCTCCTCTTGGATCAGGGTGGGCTGGTCACTGGTTTGATCTGTACAGCACGGCAGAGGTGGATCTCAGTGACTTACGGACTGGGGCAGGAAAGCCAAGTAGCTCTGCCTGGTTCTGTCGGGGTCACGCACTCCTGGGGAGCCCATCACCATGTAAGAAGTCTGACTCCCTTGAGGTCACCATGCTGGAGAAGCCACGTGGAGGTGCCATGGTCCAAGTGCCAGCAGAACCCGGCTTCCCAGCCATCCCTGCGAAGGCACCGGGCACACGAGTAGAGCCAGCTTTGACCCTCTACACCAGCCGTCTCTGCCATCTGAATATCATTGAGGGACCTCAGATGACAGCACACGGAACCGACGAGTCACCCAGTCAAGCCCTACCTGAGTTCCTGACCCATAGAACCCATGAAATGTAATAAAATTAGTTTTGCTCTATGCTTCAAAGTTTTGGGTAGTTATGCAGCCATAGTAATCAGGATGGAGCTCCGCTAAAGTAGGGCCAAGCTAGTGATGGAAA